TCTTTTAAATTTAACAAATTAGATTCTTTATTTGACAAACATTAGTAAATAAATTGTAAATTACAATATAACTATCCGTCCTGGTTTTGCGTGACAACGTCGCGCAGCTACCTTATTCATATAAGTCATATGAGTCATACGACATCATTGTCCATCACTGCCACTATGTGCTATACCTGGGTCTACAATATAGGATAAAAATGTAAAAGACCCGGGTATACAAATAGGAAAAAGCTAAGAAAATATTATGAAAATAGAATAAACCCTCCAATTATCGGACCCACACCCATACAAGAGACCCACGGGTCTAATTATAGGTTTTAAAATTGGTGAAATGTAACAGACCCGGGTCTTGTATCCGGCCATTTACGGTAGCTAATATGCAGAATTTTTTGTTTGTTGACTCTAACCTGCGTGAAAATAGAATTTCCGTTTTTTTTTGTTTTGTTTTTTTATAATTCTGTAACGTAGTTATTTGTAATTGATATCATTCATAATACTCATACGACCATTTACGGTAATATGGCTACTTTTTCGAAATCATAAAAACAGAAATTAAATTCTTTTACAACCTTTATTCATAGCCATAAACAGAAATCAAATTCTTTTTTTAAACATTTATTTTGCGTATTAAAAAATATAATGAACAACATTGTCCGCGACAATTAATTTATATAAAATGGCGAGGTTCACAGGTATGCAAATGAAATTTAAGCAAGAAAGTTATTCGCTTTATCATTACTTTTAACAAACATTATGAAAACTATTTGCCTTACAACATTCACACTTATTATATTTATAAGTATTGTTCGTTCACACTTGATTCCACGTGATACGGGTGATAACGCATGTGATAAGCTCATTAAAGACGCTCGTTATTCAGAAGAACCGTTTATTAATTATTTTGATATAAAAGCTTGTTATGAATCGACTCCATATAATAAAACCAAAGCAATACAAGTAAGTACTGTATTTAAACTTTTAGGTGAATAAAATAAAGTACAAAACGTATAAGTTTAAAAAGTCAATGCTAATTAAAATTTATATTCTCAGATAATAGCGACAATAAAAGAAAATCTTAAAGCATTTTATGTATTATTGGAGCAATCAAAAGAAGACCCAAACCCAGGATTTACTTTTCGGCCCTTTGACCTAATATCTGAATTAGATTTGATATTGAAGAATAATTATTTATACGAATTTAAGTTCATAGTAAATATCTCGTTTTAAATATGTAAACTGTTCTAGGAAAATGTTATTTAGAAATAATATACTGATGATTCAAAAGATGATTTTTTTATCAAATCCCAAATTATTAATATATCTCAAAAAAAAAATGGATATTATTAATTATGCATTAGGGACTTATGAAATAAATTTTTATGACAGTTTAATCAATACGAGGATTCCAAAACTAACATTTTCCTAGACCAGTTCTTATATTTTCTATGTTACGTATTATGATACTTACATATATACGTATAATATATAGTATGATGTTGCAGATCTTATTGATGAACTAAGAGATGGACATGTCAGGTGAGTTATATTTTTAATTATTAAAAAATAATTATTACTGTAAAATTATAATATTAAAACTTTATATTATATACTATCACAGGCTTTTTTCTACTGATTATCATCAATTTAATTTTTATCAGGGATTATCTTTGTACTCCGTAATTAAAGATGGAACACAGGTAGATTTTGCAAATCGTTTTCTACAGAAGCCAATACCATAGCTTAATAATTAACCATTTAATTAATTTATTTTAAGCAACTTAAAATTTTTGATGACATAATAGATCCTGGTACCATTGATTGTCAAGTCATATATATAGATGACAAACCGTCAATTGATGTGATTACAGAATTTGCAACTAATCACATATCTAGTTCAAGAGATTTAAGTGTTCGATTTAACTTGGCTCTCGCATCTTTTGGTTTTGGAACTGGAGATTTTACAATAGGTGGACGATTATTCACAACTCGATATAAATTGCCAAAAAGTCCAAATATTTCTTACACTCTTAATTGTAATGGTAAAATCTCTAAAATAAATCGAGAATGGAAAACTTTTATTAAAAGTTCTTCATATATATCCCCATACATCGATGGTACTACAGTTGGTAAAGCAAAATTGATTTTTGATGCATTCATTGCCAGATTTTATATATTACAAGATTTTGGTGTGGTCTTGATTTCGACTGAAAATGTGAATGATTCTGACCTTAAATATCGTTATATATCCGATATGGTTTTTGGATTTAAATTATTAGCTAAAAAAGGTATAAAAAAGGTAACCTAATTATAAATAAATAAATATCTAAGTTATTAATTTATTACGTGCTAAAATATTTATTATTATGTACTATATAGATTGTTTTAGATCTAAGTAATAATTACGGTGGTTCTGTTGATATTGCACACAATATAAATAAAATTCTATTTCCCAATATTCAAAGCTTTCCAGTTGACATGAAAGTCAATGATATTTCTGCACAATTCATAGAAGGTTTTTCAATGATTAGTTCATTATATAACGATCAACAAAATGGATATATACAACATTATAAGACATATATTTCTACAAGAACAAATGCTTCATTCAATAGCGTTAAGGACTTTATTGGAAATAATTTATATACTCGTGGCGATATTCAACTTAAATACACTTCAAAAGCATTTTTAAACCATACGGTACTGTATGGTGGAAGTTTAGAACTTCCTACGCCTCCTAAATTTCCTTGGAACGAGAAAGATATTATAATCTTGACAAACGGATTGTGTTTTTCATCATGTGCAACTATAACACAACGATTAGCTGAAATTAATGTTCCTACCGTAGTTGTCGGTGGATTTCCAAATAAACGGTTTTCTTTTGCATCAACGTCTGGGGGATATATGGTAACTACGGGTTATTTTCAAGCTTATGTTAAAAGACTTAAAAATCTCAATAGTTCTTTAGTTTTCAGCTTGACTCTTCCTGAAACTTTAAGTTTATCGTTTACTATAGTTGAAGCTTATAGTGTTAACCATCCAAACGAAGTCATGGATTTTTCTTTTAGACCTGCGGATTATCAATTATATTATGATGAACGAAGTGCTAGAGATCCAAGCCAATTATGGATACAAGCTGCCAAATTTATTAGAAACTAGAACTTGCACATGTGGCGACTTCGTCGTCAAGGTTTAATGTATTTACTGAACAATAAGAAATTTATATAGAAATCAATATTATTATCAGTATAGAAATTATTGGCTTAATTTTTTTGTTTAAATATAAAATTATCATACTTTCTTTGGTTTA